CCCCAAAACCCCAAAACCCCAAAACCCCAAAACCCCAGGTACTAAAATTCTACTGATATTTATAATTTTAAAATGCAAGAATATAAAGAAATGAAGTTCCCCAACGGGAGCAAGATAGTCAGACAAGGCCGTAAGCGCAAGGAAATATGGAATTTTGAGAATAACTGTTTTTGTGATACCAAAGTTTCTCTGGTTTTCAACAAAATTAACCACCATGATGAAGATCCTGAGGTAGAAGTTGACAATGATTTTGATTTGGAAGACATAGAATATGGTATGCCCAAGTAATTTGATTTTTAGATATCAAACCATTCGAAACCACTCAACTCTGTAAAGTATCAAAGAAATAAAGGAAGTACTTATGAGCCTGAAATTAGAGTAGAGTACATTCCAATAGATATTGAACGCCAAACAGAAATCCTTCATTCAGAAACAAGTGGTTTTAAGGAGAAGATTGCTGTAAAAATGGATCTTTGCAATGAGCTTCCTTTCAATTTGGCCTCTATAAAGCATCTGCAGGAGAAGTTAATTAAGAAAAATATCAAACATTTCGTAGATCCTCAGTTTCCACCAATGAAAAGTAGTTTGTATGACCCAATCCTGAATGAAGATTACCCCTTAGAGTAACTATAAATAAATTAAGCGTTACTATAGCTATGTAGTCCATTGGAGAAGGCCATTTCAGTTTATGAGTGAAAATCCGACCATTTTTTAGAGATGAAATCACCCCTCACGGTCTATCTTACGGTACAGGGAATAGATCTTGGTTTGTATCAGCCCTCGCTTCGCTTGCAAGGAGACCAGAATTGATCAAAAGGATGTTCATCAATACAAAATACACAGAATTTGGAATCTATAGGTAGAATCTTGAAATTTTGATGAATTTAGGCTAAGACTCTACCGAATGGGTGAATGGGTTCTTGTAACAATAGATGATTACATTCCATGATTTTATAAGGGTCAACCGATGTTTACGAGAGGGAGAGAAAATCAGCTATGGCCTCTACTCATTGAAAAAGCATATGCAAAGCTTCTTGGTAAGTTCTATCACTCACATTGCAGGATCTTATGAAGCACTCAATAACGGAGACGCTGCCAGGGCCTTGTTTGATCTCACAGGAATGCCAATTCTTCAACTTAATTTCAGTGAAGGTAAATTTTATTGTCATTTTTATAGATATATCTGATGAGGAAGAGGAAGATGAGGATTTCATGCTCCAACCATACTGAAATGACAAGCTTCAATGAGATCTGGAGGGGTGAGTCTTAACCTCTAATTCATAGACTTCCAAAATATCAAATTTTTGAGCTTATTAAAGAAAGATTAGAGAAAGGCAACATAATTTGTGCTAGAGCAAGAGGTAGGTTAATCTCTTTTTTAAACCTAGGCGAACCACTTGAGGACACATTTGACTCAGAAGAAGAAATTGATGCAGACGAAATAGAGATCCTTAATTCACATTTCTATGCTATTCTTGAGGTAAAAGAGACAGAAGAAGAGGATCTGAAAATTCTGGTACAAAAATAGCTTCCAGGATTGTAACTGGATGGGAGAGGTCAACAAGTCTCCACTCTGGGACGATAATAATGTTAAACTTCAAGGAATGAGTGATACCACAAATATCAAACTTTACTCTTCTCTTGGCCATGACAGAGATAGACTAATCAGGCTTAACCCTCAAAATGGAAGAGTTATAGAAGCAGCTGTATGGATTCACCTAGATGATTTCTTAAAAGAATTTGAATATCTGAGTGTCTGCAGAACAGACATCAAAGAATCTAGTAAGCAAACTACCTAACATCTAGCGTTCCTTAAGGGAAAGTTTATATCTGCTGAGAAAAATGAGACTGAGAATCAAGAAGCAATAGTTTCCAAATGCTTCTACACGATAGATGTAAAAAGAAACAACACAGAAATAATCATGGGAATACACCAAGAAGACCAAGATATTCTAGGAGGATACCTACGAAGTAATATAGACATGGGATTTGCTATTATTGAAGAAGACGATTCCTACTACTGGCTGTATGATTACCTTGAGATGCGTAAGGAAAGAGATATCTTCTTTAAAGCCTCATTAAATAAGGGCAGATATCATATAGTCCCAATGACGACAGGTGTTTTCTTGAGAAGGCCATTTCACTTGGATATCCAAAAAGTTCCAGTAGATCCTGTTCACCCCTACAGATATTCTGAGCTACATCCATACCTCGACTCTGTCCTGAGTGATCTGTTCAGAAAATCTGACTTTAGATGAAACTCATTGTTAGAAGCATCTGAATTGAATGGGTTTGGAGAGATTATCAGCAACAAATATTTGTCAAGCATAACCCAATCTGATTTTAACAAAACTAATTTTGATAAAGCAAGCTGCACTAAGAAAGGACTAACCGAGTTCGGCTTCAAATCTGTGATAATGAAAGAGGTAAGACAACCGTTAATCCCTAGTACCATGACAGAGAAGAGAAATTTGCAAAAGTGCTGAAGAAGCTTGGATACGACATTGGTATGTTCTCAGCAAAAAGCAGAATTTTTATGATGTCATTCTATTCCAACAGAAATTTACAAATCAAAAGAGAAGATTGAGTCAATAGATATATGAACTCGTGGGCATGGGACTTATATATGGAAGAGAGGCTATACTTCGATGGCGAAGGGCCAGATCCTACCGAGGAAGAGGATTGTTTGTGATTCTCAGTAAAACACCCTCACATTAACGGAATCAGCTATGGTGTGTCCAATACAGATAGTGATTGTAAGAAACATATTTCAATCGATATGAACCAGACTGATGATGCATACTTCTCTCCAGCATACGGAATCAAGGATCATACAGTTGATCCAGATTGCATTGAATACCTCTGATCTGTGGCTATAGATCCCGAGTATTCTGAAGATTTCATGTATTCTCATTTCGAATACGATGCTGACATTGTAAATGGATCTGAGGTAGGAGATGATGACATGAATGAATCTGAAGAATCTGAACAATCAGAGAGATCTGATCAATCAGAAAATTCTGAAGATGAGTAATAATCCTTTCAATTTCAGAGCAAATGTTGGGGTTTTGGGGTTTTGGGGTTTTGGGGTTTTGGGGTTTTGGGG